GGGCTACCTGGGGAGGGGCTCAGAGAAGGGGGCACCTGGCGAGGGGGCACAGGGAGAAGAGGCTCAGAGAGGGATGCAGGTAGAGGGGGCTGGGGAAGAGGGTCGGCTCACTTCCCCACAGGGCAGGAAGGAAGGGCGGGCTTCCAGGGGATCTAGGTCTCCCTAGATGGGGATCCAGGGGTCTGGCCGGGGGGGGGGGGCTCTCCCTTCAGGGCCCAAGTGAAGGCCAGAGGACTCAGTGTGCCCTGCGGGGTGGGGTGGAAGCTGCTCGGTGGTGAGCCTGATGCCCCTTCTTGTGCCCACGTCCAGGCTGTCCAGTCCTGAGCCCGCCCTGCTCTGGCGGGTCCGTCCCTTCCTCTCTCTGAGTTTGATTTTATTTGTAGATTTTTAAATTTTATTTATTTTTATTTTATTTTTAATTTTATTTAATTTTATTTTTTAATTTTATTTGTAGATTTATTACCTTAAAAACAACTTCTTCTTCTTCTTATTATTATTTAATTTGACCAGAGAGAGAGGGAAAATGAAAAAGTAAGCCACCAGGTTGGGGACTCAAACTGGCCGGCCGTGTGGGAGTCCAGCGCCTTAACCACTACACTACTTGCCAGCTGCAATTTTTAAATTTTGATTAATTAATTCATTTTATTGTAAGAGAGTGCATGCACTCACCAGAGAGAGCGAGAGAGAGAGAGAGAGAGAGAGAGAGAGCGAGCACACCTAACAGAGTATGTCCGCGCTGCACTTCCCCATCCCAGCAGGACTGTGGACACGCATGCACATGCCAGCGGGGCCTGGATCCGAACCATGGTGGGCCCAGTGGGATCCAGCTCGTCTACACGGCTCTTAACCACTGTGCTGTACGGTCAGAGAGACAGCGACCCCCGCCAGGGTCTCACCGGCAGGATCTGCCAGCCCCAGCCAGCGGCTGCTCGTGGGTGTTTGAGGTCAGAACACTCAGGGAGGCCCCTCGAAGTGAACATAGAGCTTCCCATGTGGGTCAGCCTCACAGAGGGCCACGTTTTACCACTGTGCCCCTGGCTGGCCCCCAGACGTGACATTTCTCCAGAGGCCTGTGCAAACCAGCCCTCTGTGAGGTGATTTCCAGCCCTAGGGGATGAACTTGGCTCTGAGGGAGGCAGCGCTGGGTCCCCCCACACCACCTGCTGGTCACAGGCTTCTCTTTATCATGGGGGATGGGGCAGGATGACTGTCCCAGTGCAGGAGGGCTGCAGGGAGCACCTGGGAGGCCTGTGGTGACACGGAGCCCCTGATTTCTCCTCTCCCACCCTTCCTCCCCTGTCCAGGTCCCCATCTGCTGCCTGGGAGGAGAGACCCCCTCGTCTGTCCTGTGAACTCTCCCTTCCCATGGGGGTCCCCTGAGGCCACAGCCACTCCACACCCATCCCTTCCACAGGCAAGACGATGTCTCGGCCCCACCTGCCCATTTCAAGAAGAGGGAGGGAAGCACCTTGGACCTTTTGCTCAACATCTGGAACATCCCAGCTGGCTATTGTCTGGAGGCTCCTGGGGCTCAGGTGACCCCTGACCTCACAGCCTCCCCACACTGAGCACGCTCTGTTGCATCCCGAGGAGGTGGGAGAGATGAGACCCCGTCTTGTTGCCCTCTCCAGTGCCCTCTGGGGAAGGGCCTTCCTCTTCCTCCCCTCCTTGGGACCCTCTGTGAAAGTCCTCCGCCCTCCATCCACACCCACCCTGACCTCTGGGCTCTCCACGGGCAGTGGGGGGAGACCATCGAAGAGCTCATCAACCTGCTTTGAGGGTCAGTGCCCCTCCACATGTGGGACCACAGCCACGACAGCTCTGCTGACCACAGTGGCCTGCCAGGCACAAAGGTGGCCATGGTTTCTAGCTCACCAGAGTGAGGAGGAAGAGGTCAGAGTGTTCTCGGCAGAAGAGGCCACTTGGGCCATGATTCAGACAGAGCTCAGGCCTGGGGTTCTGGGCGCACTCTGTGTGACCTTGGGTGAGTCACTTCTTGTCATGAACTCAGTTGTGTCTCCCAAGAAGACACAGAGAAGTTTTAACCCCCAGTACCTCCAAATGTGACCCCATTTGAAAATGGGACTGTTGCGGATGTAATTAGCACTTAGACCCAGAGGCGAGACG